TTCCTTAGCACCGACCATGACTAATTTACCCATTTTTACCATCACGCTTAAAATTGTTAAAATTTTCCCAACGTTTATTGATAAATTGTGAAATGCCACCTAATTCACATTTGCCATCCCTATCAACTTTTAAAAATGCTCCTAGAAGATCTATTTCCGATTGTGTATGCTTTTATTTTTCTCCTTTTATCATTTTCTCATAATATTGATAAAATTCTTGAAATGTTATTTTATCTCTATGTTGTAGAACAACTTCTTGAAATAAGGCGCTCATATCTTGATAGTTCACTTCTACATTTAATTTTGATAAAAATGTTTTAAATTCTTCTAATGAGAGAAAACCATCACCATCTGCATCAATGAGTACGAAAACAGCTTTAAGTTTTTCTCGAATATCAGATCAATTTGGCTCCAAAATGTTGAAATACAGTAACGCTATCGTCAGATACACAAGCTTCTTTGTCTAACGTGGATTCAATCAGCTTTTGAACAAATAAACAGAAAAAATAACAGTAAAACTTAATTAAACTCATCCTAAAGTAAGAGTAGCTGTGGATGTAGGCGTAAATACGGGAGAAAAGAATATTAATACTCACATTCACGCACATACCCACCCTTAACCATGCCCTTTTGTCTATGAAAGATGCGAGTCAAAACAGATTTGAATGATCTACTTTAAACCCTAAAATCATAATCGTGAGGCTGCGTTCAGTATTTTGATATTATCTCACGAACAGGTTAACGAATTTTGCTAGACAACATCTCTTTTTACACAGAGCTACTATACAAGCTACAAATTTATTTCTATTCAAGTAACTTATACAAAGGGTAAAAAGAATGTTTTATGTGAAAAACTATTCAAAATCTCAGAAATATCATTTTCAGAAAAGGCGGCATGAGATTTATCTTATCAAGATATGCCTCTTAACATTCATTTGTTAATGTGAAAACTTTGATGTCAATAATTTAGCATGGGCCACACTGATCTATCCTATGCAGTGACTAGTTATATTATACCTTGATATTATACTACTTCTTTGAAAATCAGGAAAATCAATTTCAGATCCGTCTTAAAGCTGCAAAATTGGATAGAATAACTTATTTTAGATCGATTCTCCACTTATATCTAGTAGGACCACGATGGTGGATGCGCTCCGTGGCAATAATGGAACTTGTACTGGTTACCAGCTAGTCAATCTCAATTACTTTCTATTTTTGTTATTATAGAAAGGTATTGAACACTACCATTGGAACTTAATGATATCCAGGAGAGGTTAGATTCGGAAGTCTTTTTGCAGACATTGACTATATCAGACATTACATGTCCAAAGACAGAACTTGTACAACATGATGGACACTCTGTAGTAAAAACAATGTCACTTTTTTTCTAATGCATTATTTACTCTTTAAATGACGTTTAATATTTAATGTAAATATATCAAAAGATGCAACGCGTTCCGGACTTTCTCCCTATTTATAGTAAGTAAATACACAAAAGAAGTATAGTAATAAAAAAGAAAAAAATATATCATGGAAGAATATCAGTAGGACTGCGCTGTAGTTGAAGAATGATTAAATACCATAGAAACATAGAATATTGTTTGTTCTATCACTACGTAAAAAAAGAAAATTTCTTTAAGCTTTCTAAAAGGAAATAAGATACGTCTACCACTACTTTTGATATGACCTATGTATATCATCGAAAATGTTTATCTTTAAATTTCGAATTTGAAAGAAAGTGCATCCACTATTCTCTTTTAATAAATAACGATGGACATAAATTCAATGTGCAACATCAGTCGTGGTTATAAAGATAAGCGAAACACCTTAATATGCATAAAAATGAGATTACAATAAAGACGAAACAATTAAAATTCATGCTGGTTATGTCAATGACAATCAATGTCTGATGTATAGTCGCCAATAATCAGAGTAGTAAGATAAAATTCATCGGGCAAATATTTTAGCACATACAAGTCATAGACGTAAGGATAAGGTGCCGGACCGAGAACATAACGAGCATCAATCTCAGCTGCCTCTTGCAGATGTGCATTTTGACTTGGATTCATAATTTCGATCTTTGTCCTTCCATAACTATCTGAAGAAACGCTTGAAGTCGAATCGTGCCACATGATACTCCACAAGAAGTGAGTAATAAGCAATTCTAGCTCCTTCTTGCAACTATGCATGTATATACTCGAGGTTTCATGTTTATCGTTTATGTATATGATATTGAAAGTCGCTGTATTATTTGTTTCTTGCCGAATTATTTTTCCGCTCGTTATTACATGACCAAAAAGTTCAAATGAGTACGATGTGGAATTAAGACGTTGCGCTCGACTGACAACTAATTCGTCTTTGATTCTTGTTAATGTCATTGTTACCGAGTGGTTCCAGCTGATTCGATACAGCTCGGTTCCGTTCGAATCGTTTGCCGCATGAATTGTTATTTTATTATGAAAAACGGTGCCAGGTTTGTAATATTTCTTGATTCGAAACGCATTGACCAGTGTTTCATTACGATAAATTAATTTTGGAGTATCATCAAAATATTGTTCAATTTCTTCGCGATAAACTATACCAATACCGATTACCAATAGAAAAACAAAAAATATGATGACAGAAGTTTTACCACAATCCGATGACATGTTGTATATTTGATCGACAATTCAGAAACTTTTAGTAGAATTAAAAAGATATAAATAGTTTAGTAAGCCTTAACTCCTTTTATTTGACGACGATGGATTTTCTTTCTTTTCTCCGCAAAAGATCAAAAAGTAGCTCTCGCTAGTCACCACGCACAAAGTGAAAAGGAAGAGAAAGCACCAATCTCTTTGTTAACAATAAATCAAAAAGTAGTTCCAATATTAATTTCCTTTCTTTATGTTAGAAGATGCAAGAAAATCAATCTGACTAAAGAGCATTCTGGAATAATAAACAGGTTACAAAGTGAGAAAACAGGACCTGCTGAAAATTAGAATAAGAAAGGATCCATGCCTAAAGATTGCTCTTGACTCATGAATATTTTATTGAAGAGGAAAAACTATAGAATGTTCTCAATTTATTGATCTCATATGTTGATCAAGAATACGAGTGCTACTTAAATTCTGAAAATTAACTATATAAACCAGTTCTGAACAAGATTCTACATCTCTATTGTCTTTGCAATAGCATTGTGTTCTCTCAATCTTATTTTAGCTGTTCTTTCGCTCTTAATATTACGTACCGACGATTCTTAGATGTTCTGATCGCAATATGCTTTTTGACTATTTTCTTTTTACTTGTTGCTATATACCTCGGAATCTCCAGTACTCTTATAATAATATGTTATTTTTTGATTATTTCCTCGTCTCCTTCTGATTTTACTAGGGGTGAGAAGTTATTGTTATTTTTTGTTATTAATAACAATAACAAATAACAAAAAAAGTTATTGTTATTAATAACAATAACAAAAAGAGTTATTTGTTATTAATAACAAAAAAATAACAAATAACTTCGTTTTCCGAAAAATCTTAGTTATGCTTTGTTACTATGTAACAGTATACCAGTTCTGTTTGCTCATTGTTGTCCGATTGCTCGATGATGTTACTGACCGCAATCTTCATTAGATAGCCTATGAAACTGAGAAAAATCTTAAAAAGATCTTTTCAAGTATCTTGCTCATCTATAGGCAAAATTTACTGATCACTTTACGAGGAACGATTCCTCAATGCTCAATTGTCTTTGACTTGATGCGTTGGTCAAATATAAGCCTTTGGGAGATGAGAAAATGTCTAGAAAGATTGTACAAATCATAACTCGAAAAATGGCACCTAGAATCTCATTTCGCAAAGACTTTTATTTGACCAAAACATCAAGTCAAAGACAATCGAACATTGAGGAATCGTTTCTCGTAAAGTGATCAGTAAATTTTGCCTATAGATGAGCAAGATACTTGAAAAGATCTTTTTAGGATTTTTCTCAGTTTCATAGGCTATCTAATGGAGATTGCGGTCCGTAACATCATCGAGCAATCGGACAATAATGAGCAAACAGAACTGGTATACTGTTACATAGTAACAAAGCATAACTAAGATTTTTCGGAAAAAGAAGTTATTTGTTATTTTTTTTGTTATTAATAACAAATAACTCTTTTTGTTATTGTTATTAATAACAATAACAATAAATTCACACCCCTATTTATACATGTCTCATATCTATTGACAGAACAGTTATTATCAAATGGTCATTGATTTCAATCACAAAACACTGCGAAATTCGTTGTTTTTTGTAGCCCGTCATTTAAGCTATCAGAATATATAATTTCAATGTATATACATTAGAATCACATCGAGTATAACGTCATACATAACGAAATAGTTCCATAATAAAAAAAACAAAAAAACGCATTTACAGCTATTTTAGAGTTTTCAGTATTTTGACCATAACATCACCATTTCTAAACGAAACCTCAAATATTTTTTATCATAATGATCAGAAAAAAATTCTCTACAAAATTGGATAGAAGAAAAAAAAAACTCTAAATACTTTGTGTTTTTTGTGGTTGACTTCCCATGGAACAACCTGTATAAGATTTTAAGAAAAATATGCACAAATCATAACAGAAAATATATAAATTAAAAAATAGTAATTGTAGAACATAGTATTAGTAGAACTATCCGATTCGACATGAAATTCATAAGAATTTTGTCTTCTGGGTAAAAATAATTATAATACTGTTTTATCTATGGATCAATTATTTTCTATCTAATGTATTCATTGTTTTGTATTAAAATAAATCGATGAATATAAAGTAAATGACCATGTTTAATTCACATCGATACAAATACTAGTACTGGATGTTAATAAAATGAATGAGTATGTTCAAGGACTTTTTTTATATTGTTCCAATTCTTCTCTTCGATCTTGAAAATCTTTGACTACATATCTATCTGCTTCTTGTCGTAACCATAATTTGCTTGCATGATGTTTCATTATTTTTTTGAGAATAAGCACACTAGCAACTATTCCAACGAACAGGCCAATCAAAGCACATACCAGTACAAAACCTATAAAACTGCTACAGAGTCCCTTCATATCGCAATTGTCATTGCGACCATTCGAACTGAACACAGCAAAAAAACAGATAATTAAAGTAATAAGACCCACAATGGCTAATAATATTATAATAGCACTCAAGTAATAGACTGTAAATCCTTGAATTGAATCTGGAAATAGGTTTTTAATATTTCCATTCTCCTTATCAATAATTTGTAATAAAAATCCAACGCAAAAAATAACAAATTGAACCAATAAAAGAAGTGCTGTTGAATCACGAATAACAAAGACATAGTACTTCAGTAGTCTTTCCCTTTCAGCCTTCGGATCACTTAGAACAGATTCGATGACATATTCAAATTGACACACGTCACAAAATTTAAAACTTTTTCCACTTGCATTTTCTGATCGCCAATCATTTAAACATTTCCTATGAACATAAGCTGAACCACCACTACATAAGCACGGACTAATTATATCATTAGGATTATCAGTATCCAAACATATTCGACATTGTTTCAATTGATTATCTGCTGTTGTCGGATCATCTTGATTTTCTGCGGACATCATAGAATTGTATTAAAATGCTAAAATAAATCTAAAAACAAATTCAAATATTAGAATAAGTTCTTTCTACACAGAACATTTTCAAAAATTAAAGAAAAAAGAACAATCAAGAAGCACTTCAATTCTCCAATAGTAGAGCCTCTAAGAAATTTTTTTTTCTTTTATCTATAATTTTATAGTTTAATAATTGATTCTGGTCGAATTTTTGAAGATTAAATTTATTTTTTGTGCAATTTTATCAAAAAATATCTGACAGATTAATGTGTATTCGTTAGAACCTGGTAAATTAGTAGAATCAAAGAAAACTAATTAAAATCTGCTATTAAAACGCTCTCACATTTAAATGAACTTACAAAAAATTCAGCTTCACAGTCAATGACAGGCAGTCTCCTACGAGGATGTATGTTACGAGAAATTAAAAAGTTGACGATGTACATACAAAATATATGTATTTTTTCTTTCAATTGAAAAATATTTACACAAAACATCTGCGTCACATCACAAAAAAACTTGCTTAAATGATTCTTCGATGTTTTTTTTCTGTTCGATTATCGATGTGTGACTCAGAAATACAGTGATGAATCATTTGTTTTGCCGGAACACGCTGACTTGATATATAGTAATGTATTAATGAAATTTATTTGACTTTCGAAAATAATTTTAGTCTCCTTTTTCTCTAAAAAGTTCAATTGTAACACGTTTGTACTATTAGCACGCGTACGAAAGAATGATATTGATGTGTTTTTTTAAATCTTCTGTTTATCCAAATACAAATTACATCTTGCTGAGTATTTTATGATTAATACATTCCAAAATATTTTATATTAAGTCCAGTGGCGGTGGAATGTATAGGCCCGGTGAGGCTTAATCCTCACCTGATTTTGGCTTCTGTAAGACTTAGTGATTCCATTGTATCGTAATGGTTCATAGCGACACCTTTTGTTTAGACGGAATGGCGTGCGAAATAAACGAATCGTGGAATTGTGCGATATCATACACATAAAACCAAGAAAAATCTCAGAGATCATCCTCTTTTTTTAAATAAATACAATGGTTTTATTCGTTTTGTGTTGTGAAATATAATCTTAAAATCTTTCTAAAACTTGAACAGCAAGGTCTGAAGGATTTTATTGTTTAGATTATGTTATAAATACTAATCAGATCGAACATGTTTTTAACATTCTGATAGTGTTGAAATTTTAGATTAGAAAAACAAATGTCATCAAAGCGATTTCCATGAATTCTTTGAATATTTTACGAAAAAAGTAAAAGGTCAGGAATCATCTCTTTCTACAGAAGATTCTGCAAAACAAATGATTGTAAGTGATTTTAATAATTTTTCAAAAAGTTTTCGAGATGAAAGCAAAAATCGCCTCCTGCAACTCAGTTTTCAATTCATATGGACTCATCGATATCGTCTAATATTAATAATTTTCAGGAAAGCTATGATCAATCTTCAAATCCATCTAGACTTAATAAATCTGAGAAACCATCAACCACAACCGATTCAATATCATCATTAGCATCAACAACAAGAAAAAATAATTCAATATCATTATCAACAACATCAGCTAAAAACAGTTCAGTATCTGTATCACCAATAACAAATTCCTTAGGTTAGACAATAATGGGCAAATCTAAATGTGATTTAAACTGTTGTAGTTCTTCTAAAGCATATCATCCACTTAAAGACGATGAAATAATTTCTACAATAATTAATAAAAGATCGGGTGTGGGTGTGGGTATACATAAGACTATCGTCCACACCCACACTCTTTATGACAGATGGAATTACTCATGCTTGTTTATTTTATCGTCGAGCATATATAGATTTACGATGTCCATTAGTAGGGAAAGTACCTTTAAATTATATATTAGAAAGTTCATCTTCATCATTAAACAATATATTAGTTTCTTTTTCTATGTGTTTTTTATTTCTATTGCATCGAAAAAAAACATGAATGTACTTTTTTTTTATTTGTTATAGGGTTAATATAATAGTTTTTGTAAAAATTAGAATTTGTATTATATAGTTTTAATGTTTCAAATATGAGATAATGTTGATTAGTCATTTACTGCAAACCCGAAGAATCACTTTGAAAATGATGGTCTAAAAATATATAATAACATGATAAAAAATGTCTTTCTTAAATTACCTCAATGCATATACTTAGAGCGATTCAATGATAATGGTAGAAATACTTTAATTCCCTATAAAAAGGTTACACGAACGTTCTCTCCATATGAACTAAAAGTGAAAGTAACGCTCTGTTTTTGTGCACTATTGTGTTATTCTTCAAGTAATATTATAATAATAAAACTGCAGTAAGACCTATTTGTTAATCATGAGTGACGGTTACATCAGTTTATATTCTAATCGATATATCCTTTCTTTATTCTTTTTTTACTCGTCTCCACCCTCACCTAACCATTGATACATAGACAATATAAAGACGCATGTACTCTTTATTAGCGTGTACTGAAGAAAATAAAAGAAATAAAATTATGTTAAACCTTCTCGGTTTTAGATGAATAAGGAAAATCGTTCCTTGCAGTTATCGTTGTGATGATGAAGCTTCTTCCCTTCGAACACTTGAAAAATGGTCTAAATATTTTCGTGAAGGCTGAGATATCAAAAATAAGGCACAACCTGTTAGACCTTTATCGTAACACCATGTAAAAGTATTGTATAAGTTCCTATCTCTACTAATGCGTAATGCTTTTTTATTATTATATTAGTTGAAGAATGATATAATAATAGGAATAGAGCGCCGGTTTTACTGTTAGTTTAACAAGGAATCGTGAGTTTTTAAACATTTTTTTAAATAAGAAATTCAAATACCTTCGCCAATACTTTGAAATTGTTTTAAGTATTAATCACTTTTAGAATTTATTTTAATTCTTACTGTCATTGGGTTTATCATGTTTTCTATGAAAATCTTATATATCATTATTAAATTCCTGGTTTACATAAACTAGAGGATTATTTAGTTTTAATAATTTAAAAAAAAAATTTACTATCGATTGTCGTAGCATTTTGATATTGAACTTTAGTATAATCGACATTTTGTGAAGAATCATTTCCTTAATTATACACAAAAAAGAACTATTTAATAATATACACAGAAAAAAGAAACCTTGTTCATTTTGGTATGTGTCCGGATAAAGATAATTATCATTTCCTTGATTGTTATTATCCCACGATGTTTCTTGATCGACAATATGGTCCTGATTGAGACCATCACCTCCCTCGACCGGATCAATTACAGGATAAGAATCATGATCAATATCAGAAGAGTGACTCTGATCATTGTCAATAGGATTATGATTCTTTTCAGAAGAGCAACTGTCTTCTTCAAAATTAGTGTTTACCAACTCATGAATTGTCCATACATCAAAACAATAAGTTTGGTTAGTCAAATAATCATATGGCATATAACAATACCCTTTATCACCCTAAAATGAAAACAAAACAACATCATTTTTAAGAACAAAAGTCATATTTACCCAATTTTCTCCCCATGAATTTCGAACAGTAAATGTTCGTGATTCATCATTATAACCAACAGCTAACATTGCATGACTACAAACAAAAAACAAAGCACTTATTTAATTTATTCATTAAAAATTTAAATGAATCAACCTTCCATGTATTTCTAGACTCATTTCATTTTTATCTGGCATTGGTACAACACCTCCTTCTGATGCTTTATTAAATGAAGCAAACAAATCTAAACCAAATGCAAATGGAAAACCATCTGCAAGACAATTTTTCATTGCTTTTAAATCAATGTCAACTGAAGCTGCTGGTTTTATCGGATGATCTTTTGCTTGTGCAAAAGCTTGCTCACTAGGACGTGTATCAACTTTTGTTATATCATATGGCCAGACTGATTCGAGACATACACCCAATTCACTTAACGCTTCAATAGCATCAGTCATCACACAACCAACATCTTCGATTGGTCCTCCGTCGATATTACCTTTAACTCGTGCAGTATAATACATAAATAAACGACTAACATCTATATGACGACCAGTCGTTTTTTTTAATAAATATTCATAAGCTCCTAAAACAAAGTAATGATAAAATTTTAAAAAAATTAATTCCTTTTTATGCCTGCAAGAGTATTTGTCGTACTAAATAAACAAAAGTTAAATGAATATGAAAATATTTAAATATTTAAATATTAGATTTATTTTTATTTTTACCAGCTTGAAATGGTTGATTGATCTTCAACGGCTGTCATATTTTCTCGAAGATCAACTTTTGCTGGAAGTGGAGCAACTCCAGAGAGTTGCTTTTTAGGAATTGATTTATTTGACTCGACTTCACTTGGAGGACGAGTTGAACGTTTAATACCGTTAAGTACATATTTTTTATTTTTTGCTTCATCTGTTAGATAAACTTTGGCAGACATATCTTGGTTGTATAAATATAATAATAATAATAATTTCGTCGCCAAAAAGAAATATAAATCGTTTTGTTGTAATCAACAGAAAATTTCGTTTCTTATATGTATATATATATTAATTGGTGAATAACATTTTTTTTGCTCATTATATGATTGTTTTTGTGTCATTTCGGTAGCCTGTTTTCGTACAGGTGCAAGACTAATATGAAAAAAAAATATTTATTTTTGTTTTTGATCGAAAGATAACTATTCATTTCTCTGTTTCGAGATTCTTTTTTTTTGCTTAATGTAAAAAGAAAGTACGATGAATAATGAATGAGAAAAAGTTATGAAGCAACAAATTTTTCCAGGCATAATGATAATGATGATTGTATTACGACAGAAAAAAAAATTTGTTGAATCAAGAACTAATTGTGAATAATTCATTTCCATAGTAGCCTAGATATATAACTTTGGTTGAGTGTCTAACTCAGCGAAAAACATAGATGAAAGTAAAATGTTTCGACATTTATCTTTGTTCAATCGAATCGATATGATGTATTGATTAAAGATGCACTTGTAGATATTTATTATTAACAAATATCATTGCTTTTTTATTGCAAAATTTATCTTCATCATTGAAGAAAACGTTTTGGGGTTTTGTAATGAAAAGATAAGGACAAGAATCGTAGACAAGTGTTCGTGGAGTGATCATAATTAGGATGGTCGCATAGAATATATTGATTGCATAATGGTTTAAAAATTTTCTCATTTAGTTTAACATTTACAATGATTGATTTTACCTGAATGTTCTTATTACTGAACTAACTAATTTAGAATACCATGTCCGTGTAGCGCACACAGTCTAACATATTTGAATTTTAAGTTATTTTCAGCCTATATCATGTTTGAACATCTCGAAACTGTAGCATCATTTCTTTTTCTTCTTTCGTCTTGATCTCATAGAGGTACAGTACATACAGGGCCCAGGTCGATCGTTCCGGCCACCGGATATTGCAGGAACCGGCAGGAAAATGCGGGAAAAATCACCGTATCCTGCAGGAAAACACCGGAAATAGCCGGAACATGGAAGCAGTAGTCCGGCCGGAAATTCACCGGATTTTTTCCGGTGAATTCCGGCCAATTTCCTGTGTTTTCCGGCAGGAACCGAGCGGAAAATCAGCGGAAAAAATTCCGAAAATTTCCGGCCGGAATACTGCTTCCATGTTCCGGCTATTTCCGGTGTTTTCCTGCGGGAACCGGCCGGTACTTTTCGACCTGGGGGTGTCCCATAAGTAGCACTACGATAAAACATTTAAATATCTCCACTTTATTTCAATCAAATGAACTGTTTCTTTTGGTCGTGGTAGAGCTTGGTTCGAAGTTTTTCTTTTCGTACGGATAGTGTAAGCAAATATTTCTATTAAGTATTATTGTTGATCTAACTAAAATAATTTTATCTGTTATCATGTGAGAAAATTACATGTGAAGCGCTCTATAGATAAGTTTTAGATGTTACCTATGAGAACAGCAAGAAGAAATCAAAACAAACTTTTTGAATGATACACCATTGCTCTAAATAGACCAGCTTTCAGCAGTAGTTACTTTAAAAATCGACGAGTACAATTTTTCGAATTTTCAAGCATGAAATACTGTTTTTTTTCGAGAAAATTGGTAATTCAATGCCCAAAGGGCTTCAATTATATCTTTTAGTTTTCAAACACAAAATTTCAACATTCAAACAAGTTAGTTGTGAAAATTTAACTTATTTGCATCAATGTTGTATCATTCATAAAGTTTGTTTTGATTTCATCTTGCTATTCTCATAGGTGACATCTAAAATTGATCTATAGAGCGCTCCACATGTATTTTTCTCACATGATAACAGAAAAAATTATTTTAGTAAGATTAACAATAATACTTAATAGATGTATTTGCTTATTATATCCATTTGGAAAAAAAACTCTGAGCCAAACTCTACCACAACCAAAAAGAAACAGTCCATTCGATTGAACCAAAGTGGAGATATTTGGATGTTTTATCGCAGTGCTACTTATGAAACACCCTGTATATTTAAAAGAAATTGTATTTTTATTAACTTTATATTTAACAATAATAGTATTTTGGATCTTTTCATAAAATTACTTATGAATATGTGTAATGTAGCTCTAGCGACCATAACGAAGAAATAAAAAAAATGCTATTATCATTTTAAAGTATGGCCACGTGACACATTTTGTAGTTACCTTGAAATATGAATATCTCGTTCGAAGCACTTTCTAGGTAACTCATTAGATAAATTAATTAGTTTGATAGTCACAGCATTCGTCTGAGTCGACTATGATCAACCTCCTTAACTTACAGTACATCATTTCCCATTGATAGTTTATGCATCAGGAGATACTACATTTTTAGTGTCCGTTAATGCAATGTTATTATTACTTTGAGAAACACGAGGAAAAACTCGTTTTTGAATTTCGACTTGACAATTTTCATAGAAGCAAGCCTTTGTAGGAATAATTTATTATGAAAGTTTCAGTTGTTTTCAACATTCTTGTCTAGTAATCAAGGGGAAAAGTTGATTCTGAGATCTTACAATCACATAGAGCCAATCAAAGCCAACAGATGTATTTTCAGTGAATCATGTTTAATAAGATCTTTGAATGACCAGAAATGCGTTTTTTTCTTATCGTCAATATGTTTTCTACGAAGTGAACAGTATTGTAATTACAGTAAAGAAATACATGTTATGTTGTCTATCGGGCTTCAGTATGGTGTGTTGAATGAAAACAAAACATACTAGAGAACTATAGAATCATAAAGCAGCTTGTGTTTATCGATATGGTATGCAAGTGACTCCTATTGTGCTAGCCGAATAAAAGCAAACCTGGAATAGTTTCAGACTTTTCTTCACAATTAGTATGAGGGATTTTCAGATTTTTTTCTCTATCATTTCGTTAGATGTTAGGGATATTCCAAGCCAATTTCAGATATACTGAGTGCCACAACAAGTATGTGCAGTTTTGAATTTCTCTGTATTTTAGCACAGATATATGATATACCCTTGACTTATTTCTAGAAGTTACGTCCTCAATTGCTTTACAAAACTTGATCAAAAATACTTATTTCATTTAGTTCGATGGTTATGGTTATGGATGCACTATAGACTCATGCCACCTATATTCTCTCATGATTTTATTTTTTGAGATGTCAAATGTCGAATATTTTTGGATTCCCTAACCAAAGAAACAAGAACGTTTTCTTTCCCTCAATCAATCAATGTACAGTGCGCGTTTCTCATATGTGACGAAATTTTTGTAGTACAGTTTCCTACCTTTGGATAACTGTAGCTATTCGCTGTCATTTTTTCTTGTTCGTTCTTTTGTTAACATTTCGCTTTGCATTCTACTACTTTAGCCGAAATTCTTTTCTAAATAATTCAATCTCCTTCATGAGAGTCATAATTGGATACTCAAAATGGTTCAATATATATTATTAAAGAGTTGGCGGTACACTACTTTGCTGGTTTTTGCTGTTGGGTAAATCCAAAGAAAAATATGATTGGATGACTAGGACGCATTCCTGACTGATACCTTCTGTTTCAACTCATATTTTACTTATAAACAGATTTAATTGAGACTATGAGTGAAATAGGAATCATCCCGTGCACCTTTCTTCCAAAGTCATGAATGTTTTAGTAACTTCCTGCCTCTGATAAGGTTTTCATTCAAAGACAGAATAAAGAAATTTCGTCCATAAATTGATATTCTGATCCTTTGAGTATATTTAAAGCTAAGCTCGAAATTCTTACCTCTTCTTAACATATTAAAAGATAAAAATATCAGATTCTACAAACAATCAAGAAAATCGCAATTCTTTTTTGAGATTTAATCATTCGAAAGACAAACTTGCTATGTCCAAAATGTTGAAGATATAAGAAGGGTGTGGGTGTGAGTGGGTGTGGGCGTGGGTGTGGGTGTGGGTGTGGGCGTGGGTGTGGGTGTGGGTGTGGGCGTGGGTTTGGGTGAGGGGGTGGGTGTGGGGTGTGGGTGGGTGCAGCAGCTAGCGCGACTTGTTCTTTCGGGATTTATTAGGACTTTCCAATAAGCCCATAAGCATTGTGGGATGAATCCCACACGGTGTCTCAATACATACAAGGTATTGGTGTGAGTGCGCGTGTCCAAAATGTCACCATAGTTAATAAATCCTGAATAAATGAGTAAATCCCATAGAAAAAATAAATCCGAAAAAAATAAGTCCCGGTAGCCCTTCTATGGGTGAGGGTGTGGGTTTGAGTGGAGTCGGCCTGTAGATGTAAGTCTTCTATTCAAACACATACCAACACCCCCATGCACCCGCCCACATCGGTACCCACCCACAGCCACACCCTTCATCCATTAGAAATACAAGGCTACTGATGTCTTTTTCTTCAACTAGCAGTGTTTACTCTTTTTTTTTGATTGTATGTCCATAAAAGCATAATAAACAGCTCTATGTATGTTATATTTTTTTCCAAGGAAAAAAAAAAGACGTGGAAAAACAAAGCAGTTGAGTGTGAAAGCAATTCTCTTCATAGTGAGAATGAAGTAATTCAATCATTTTTTAGGTTTGATTCTTTGTTCGTAATACTGTTACGAAGGCAGTGATCGCCGTTCGTGAGTATTTTTCATAACACGATATACATTTTTATTTATTTCAATATATTGCAACAGTTTTAAAAGTATTAAACAATAAAATAATACATAGAGCAGTTGAGTCCATCAGAAAAAGTCTGATGGAATTTCTCCAGTCAAAGCTATATACCCTAATGAATACAGTAGAAGTAGATAAGGATAAATCAATGAGAGTTATACGGATGGATTACGGCTATCCGTTCTACTAAAAATGTGTCGAGAGGGCATTAAAGGTATTACCGATATGTACAGGTTTTAGGCTAACAATGATCCTAATAACCCGGCTTGCAGAGATTCGAATGTGTACCCAGGTCAAAAAATCTGACAACAGATCTTGTACGATTTGGTATGAGTCGTACAAAAAATCGTAGTCTTTGAAATCTTACATCAATTCTGACCGCAAGATTTCTATCAGATTTTACCATCGCGTAAGATTTTCTAAAATCTTGCGATAAGATTTGTCAAGACAACAGGATGTGTCCAGAGTCTTACACAGTAAGAATTGATGTAAGATTTCAGAGACTACGATTTTTTGTACAATTCATACCAAATCGTACAAGATCATATATGATCAGACACAGAATCTTGCTCGATCTTAGTGTCTGATTGTTCGCCCTGGGTAGTTCAGTGATAATGATTAGAAAGTGTTGCATTCACGAAAGTCCTTAAAATTTAACAAATCAGCTCTTATGAAGACATATTCGGTAAAATACCAATAGAGCTCTCTTACATGAACACCTTATTCGATGTCTCAACACAATCGGTTTTGCTCACTAGAACTTAACGAACATTATCGATTCACTCATGACTGATACGTTCTCACCCATCACTGCAGATATAGCGACATAAACATCTAGTACACGAGTGTAAAAAAAAGCTGCGACCGCACATTTATCCGTTTGTAATTCGTGCTGTATTCTTGCAGGCCGTATGCACAGTCATGCTGTATCATAGAAAGTATTACTGATGTTTGCACCGGAAATGTTTATCAGCTATATTCAAAAACATAAATGCCCTAACAGATACCCAGCCAACATCGTTTTCGGTTATATTCTCATTTACGGTCTAACTTAGGTTGCACTTCCACCACTGAAGTTTGCACACACATTCATACCCTCAGATCCTCATTTACAGATGTCAGATGGGTTTTGTTGGTATGAGTGTCCATGAAACTAGAGCATCCATAACTCATTCTCAACTCACGAAAATGACTTTATCTAAACATTTGAATAATTTCAACTTTGATTCATCCGCCAAAAATTCTAGGTAGATTTTTCGTTAAACCAAACAGTGACCCATGAGCATCGATGTGGGTGCCAGTAACTTTCAAGTCAGTTACGACAGAAATACCCACACCCTCACCCACACCCAAAAAATCCCGTAAAATCAAAAATAGATCTTTTTTTGGATTTTAGAATCTATAAAATCCCAAATCCGCTTTTTCTCCCTGCTCTTTTGTCTTTATACACACTGTCACAAGGCATTCTACATTCTAGCTTTCAGAGTATCTCGTAAGATTGTTATGTTTTAGACACATTTTATCTAACAAATAGCAATTTTTTAAAGTGAAATATATAAAAGCATGACTTCATCGATATCAAACAAACAGCATATCCGTCATATCTCACTGACTTAAATAATGTATTTCATAGATTTCCATTATATTTCAGGGATTTTTTATTGGATTTCTGGTATTTTTTCGGATTTCAATTGTATTTCAGGGATTTTTTACGGATTTTACGGATTTTACGGATTTTGTATGGATTTCCAAGGATTGGCAATCCCAAAAATCCGCCGTTTCCCCTTGACATTCTAGCTTACAGAATATCTTGTAAGATTGTTATGTTTTAGACACATTTTATCTAACAAAAACAATTTTTTTAAGTGAAATATACAAAAATATGACTTCGTCGATATCAAACAAACAACATGTTCGTCATATGCGACTGACTTAAATAATGTATTTCATGGATTTTTATTGTACTTCAGGAATTTTTTATGGATTTTTGGGATTTTTTCCGGATTTTCGTATTTTAATTGTATTTCAAGGATTTTTTACGGATTTCTGGGATTTTAGGGATTTTTTTATGGATTTTCAAGGATCGGCAATCCCAAAAATCCGCCGTTTCCCCCTTGAGAAATACTGTTCACTTTGTTCACTTCAACAAGTCGAAGACGTGCAAAATCTGAACAATTTGGCAACACTTTATGGATCTGTGATCTCGATGTCAAACACAATAGAGCTAAATTTAAGAATGTTGGACGTAGTACATGATATATCGTCACTCTCAGATTTTCCTGACGAGGAGGAATATCTAATCTGGCCCACAACAATATTTCGTTATGTTAACTATGAATATGACACTGGAAAAAACAAACATGTTATTTACCCCAAGTCATTTGATAACAATTTTTGAAGCGCACATTTAAACGCACTTTTATTTTCAACAGTAGCAACATCGAGTGCCATTCTAACATGTCTTTTTTATAAATTAAAAAAATGCTCCCGTAAGCCTTTTTCATAGTGTCATAATAATAAGATTTTACTACAAAAAATACTAGTCTTTCTCTGCAGGATCTATTAACTAAAGAAAGAATTATGTTATGATCGTTTAGTAATTCTTGCTCTTAATCCATATTTGGGTCGCATTGTAACACGAACATCGGGAACAATTTTTTGGCCAGGTTCTAATTCAAAATTGCATCGTTGTACAAGCATGGCTAACATAATTTTAGCTTCAAGTAAGGCAAAATTCTGGCCAATACAATTACGCGGTCCAGCTCCAAATGGCAAATAACAAAATGGATGAGCCAATTTTGGTTTAAGGCCTGTTACAGGATCTCGAATCCAACGCGTATAATCAAATTCAAGTGGTCGTGACCAAAATTCTTCTCGTCGATGAAGAATATAAGTATTAACTGAAACTACTCCTCCAACAGGCATACGTATTTGACGATGACCTTCTTTACCTATATAATGTTCACGAATACATCTTCGTGCAATAAAAGGTGCTGGTGGATACAAGCGAAGTGTCTCTTGTAGAACAGCCTCACATATAGTTAATTCATTCAAATATTCATAAGTAGGTTCGATGCCATTGGGAAGTACTCTATCGACTTCATCTCGGCAAGCTTGTAATACATGTTTGTGTGTCATTAATAAATACATAGTCCATGTCATTAAATTACCTGTTGTCTCATGGCCGGCAAGTACAAAAGTTAATGCTTGATCTTTGATCTCTTGATCATTAAACGGTTGTCCTTGATCATCGACAGCTGACAGAAGAAGATCGAGAATATCTTCACGAGAAGATAAACTAGTTGATCGATTATGTCGACGATCAGCAATAATTTCATCGACAAAATCAGAAACCTCTTGAGAATCTTTTTTTAAAATATCTTTACGCCAAAATGGTAATTTTGAAATAATAGGTATTTGATCAATCAGACGTACATTTCGATATTGGATTGCTTCCAATAGTTCAGTAAATGCTCGACATACAATTTCTTTCGCATTAGCTATTGTTTCGAAACCTTTACCAAATGCACTTGATGAAATAATAGCCAATGGTAGAGCATTTAATTCTGTTTGTAAATCGACAACTTGTTGGTCAATTGACAATGAAAGAAGTTCATTAATAGCTTGACTTGTTTGATTAATCATAATCGAAACCATGGATTGTAATTTAACAAAATGAAAAGCCGGGTTGAGCATTTTTCTTGCACGTTCATGTTCTGTACCTTCGCTAACTAATAGATTATGTACACCAATTAAAGGTTTAAAAAATTTATCAGTGTTAAGTGGTTTCGTATAATCTTGAGCGTGCGATCGACCAAATATATCGGCAAGCATATCTGGTTCGAGCACAACTAAATATATTGTCGGACCGAAACATATTCCATAAACATATCCATGCTTTTGAACGAGTTCCATTCGATAATCCATTACAGTACCTTTGTCAGATGCACGACGCATAGCCGGTAATTGGCCGACGAATGGTACGAATGGTTCGCATGATATACCTTGACTACGAAGTATATTATAAATACGTTTCTGTCGACGGATAAATTTCCAATAAAGCAAGAAGAAAACCGAAGAAAATATACCAACAATGGTGTAGAAAAATATAAGCAGATCCATGTCAATATATATCAAACTTTAGAAGAGCATAATCTTATGTAGTAGTGTGATGATGATGAAGCAAAATTTCTTTTTCTTTTTCTTTCTTCCTCCGTTATATGATGAAACATTATGACATTCGCTGCACGCATATCTTGATAAAAAGAGCAGAAAAAAACCAGCTGTCATCTATCGTCTTCATGGATAAAAAAATGGCGTGCATTTTTTGCTTGATATTCTGCATTATACCGTTCTGTTTCCATGCGTAGTTTAGAAATAAGTTCAGTTCAGTCAATTCGATCGGGCGGAAAATTCTTCTGTATAGGGGTGTGTGTGGGGTGTGGATGTATGTGGGTGTGGGTCTGGGTCTGGGTCTGGGTGTGAGTGTGGGTGTGGGGTGTGTGGGTCTGGGTGTGGGTGCGGGTGTGGGTGTGGGTGTGGGGTGTGTGGGTGTGGGTCTTGAAGAAGAGAATATCAACACCAACACCCACACCCTCCCTCCACACCCCACGCACAGCCACAGCCACATCCACACGCCACACCCACACCCACCCACACATCCACCCACCCCACACCCCACCCACACCCGCACCCTACCCACACCCACACCCACACCCCACTCACACCCCACCCGCACCCACCCACACCCACACCCTACATCCACATCCACATCCACACGCACACCCACCCACACCCACACCCACACCCCACCCACACCCTTGATTGACATAAAACAATCTGAGATCGAATTAATAGACATAGCTGTTCATTAATAGGGAGAAG